TTTGGCAGGCCCAGGCTGGGGATTCGAACCCGCCACCTTAGGTGTATGTGGCTGGCGCCTTAGCCGCTTGAGCCACAGGTGCCCAGCCATCTTTTCTCTTTCATTCCTCCCCTCTTAGCCTGTGACAGACTGAAGGGCTTCAACTACAGTAGGAGTTAAGAGCAGATCCAAGGGAAATTTTCCTGTTGAGGTGGAAACCACATGATTCAAAAAAGCTAATTCAGTGATTTTAACTTATGTATGTCATAGAACCCTTTGAGAAACTAATATAGCAATGGACCCTAGAAAAATGCACCTCAATTTTTAGTTACTTCAAAGGATTCACAAATATCACTTTTTTCCACCAATCTTATCAATGAGCCCAAAAATCATAGAAATACACCCCACACATATATACATTTTTTTTTTAGAGACAGAGTCTCACTTTGTCACCCTCAGTAGAGTACCGTGGTGACACAGCTCATAGCAACCTCCAGCTCTTGGGCTTAGGCTATTTTCTTGCCCTGCCAAATGACAGCTACAACCAAAAGATAGCCTAGTGCTGTGGTAGGCGCCTGTAGTCCCAGCTACTTGGGAGGTGGAGGCAGGAAAATTGCTTGAGCCTAGGAGCTGGAGGTTCTTGTGAGCTGTGATGCCACGGTACTCTGCCCAGGGCAAGAGGCAGGGGAAGCTAAGTTTGTGATTCAACAAAACATTACTAGATGCCTTTTCTTCCAAATTTCTACTATCAGACACACAAATAGCAAAAAACAAAGCAACACTCCAATGCACTTTTTCTTTCTTTTACTTACATTAAATACATCGGTAAATCGGTAAATCAGCAGTCGCATTGTTACCACGATTGTTATGTTGGGAGAGGAAGAAAGGCAATTGCTTTCTTAGAAGCAAAAACAAAACAAACAAACAAAAAAACATGGTATTTCCCCCCTTAAAAACCTGACCAGAAGAAAAAAATGAAGCGCTGGGAAATAAAAAACGAAGATCCCCGAGCCTAACAGAGCTCAAAGGAAGGCAGAAGAGCTGGTAGGAAGTAGAGGGAAGGCAGCAGACAGGCCCAGAATCTAAGGCCAATCCTATTCCTATGGGGATGGGGGAGGGGAGAAAAAGCCGGGGAAAATGTTTTCCCAGCCCCAGGGCAACAAAACATCTTCATTCCTGCTCCACGGGGAAAGCTGCACAGACAAAGAACTTCATTTCTAAGAGACTTAGAGAGCCATCCTAGTTCTTCCACTTGTAAAACAGATGCACTGGGCATATAAGGGTTGTGGGTTCTGGAAAAGGAAGGGGAAAATGTATATGTATTTTAGGGCCATGGGAACTAAGGCTGCCCCTGGAAAAGGAAGGGAATTGAGGCCTAAGTGGAAGAACCTAAGCTGGGTCCTTCAGAATCTCAGCTTCATGGGGTTTCTCAGCTGCTCTGGGATAGAAGACAGTCTGTAAGTCAAAAGGGCAGAAAGGTTCCAACTGTAGGTCACTGTGACTTTTATCTTTCCCAAATTTTCCCCAAACTGAGCTAGAACAAAGAGGAAAAAGGGTTCTCTCTTGCCTTGATGGCTTCCCAAAGACATCCTAAAACACCTGATGAGGGACACAAAGAGGGGCTAGAGAGTTAGAAAGGACCAAGGTCCTCTAATGATAGGAGACAGCTGTGAAATACCTCCAGTGTTTGTCATTCTCTGTCCATGGGAACAGGTGGCATCATGTGAGGGGCCACAAGGAGGACTTTGTGGTACTAGCCCCTAGTGGTACATGAATTAAACCACTGGTTGTGGGGTGGGGGTGGGGGCAGAATGAGGATAAGAATGGAGGGACTAAACTCAAGATATTAACAAAGGAGAAAAGAAATAGCGCCTGATGGGAGGCAGGGAACAGAACAGTGGGAGTAAGATCATACCTATTTACAGGGAAGTAGAAAAGACATGGTAATGGATACCAAATTGAAAGTGAACCCTGGGTAAGAGTAGGTAACTCTTCCCTTTTGCTTGACCCCTCTTTACTCCCTTACCTTGGCTTGTGCTATTCTGAGACCATTCCTTAGTTGCTCAGTTAATTTCTGGGAAAGGCAAACCTATACTCAAGAGCTAGATTGGCAAGAATATAAGGTTAAGAATCAGAGGTGGAGGACGCTAAGGTGGAGATTGCGCTTGAGTAGCTGCCACTTGTACTCTCCATAACTACTCTGAAAACCTCACATATACCTCAGATTCCATTTAATTAAAAAGAAGGTAAGAGGGTAAATCAATCAACCAAAACCACCATAAAACAAGTATCCCAAGTGAATTACCATCAATTAAAGTGCAAACTGCAGGGGGATATGGTGGCTGGGGCTAAGACCATCTAAAGGCCAGAGGGGGGAAAATGTGTATGTATAAATCAGAGGACGGATATCAGAAACTGGTCCCTCCTCCAATTGTATCACAGCAGAGCCAAAGACACAGGCAACCAGTGAAGATTTCTTTGGAGGACTTTGGGGTCCAATCCCCACTGCAGGGGAGAAGCTACCCTAAGAGGCTGGGTGAGGGCTTTGTGCCAACTAGGCCTTAGAAGCATTCCAGAGCCACAGATGACACTGGCTCTCCACCACCACCCAGGGATAAGGGATAACTCCCACCCAACATCACTCCCACCTGATGCCTGAGACCTTGCCTCCCCATTCTCACCTCTACCTAGGAATACCCTCCATAGGCTAACTCATGGATACTGCAATGTTTTCAGATATGTGAAATTCCAACCAAATAAAAACAAAAAAGAAATGTTTCCTTACTTTCTCCTGCTCTGAGCTTTATTCTCCCCCAAGGCCCTTTAATGTAACTGAACTGGAAACCTTCCTCAGTTCTTGGGTTCACCACCTTCTCCATCCTGGGGAGAGGAGGAAAACAGGATCAAGAACAGGGATTGATCAAATCAGGAGGGTGAAGGGGCAGGAGAAAAAAAGTGTTTTCTGAAAAAATGGGGAGGAACACTGGGGAAAAGAGGAAAGATAAGTAGGTCACTGTCTTGCACCTATAATACAAAGTGAAGAAAGTTTGTTTTGGGAGGTAAGTCCTGGGGGGGAGTTGAGCCCCAAGCCCCAGAGTAGGGGTAGGAGGCCAGTGGCAACAGCTGCCTGGTGTTGGTTGCTGAAGCGTTAAAAAGTGCCATGACGGAGCTGTCAGGAGGCAGCCCTTGGGAGCCAGGGCTCAGTGTGCTGTTACCATACGGGCTGTGTGCTGAGGGGTGGGGATGGAGGTTATTTCTTAGCTCTCGTGCTAGCTCCATACTTGTTCGCTGCTAGCCACCCCTCAGTTGCTACAACACTGGCTCTTGTTCTGCTGGGACTGTTCATGGAGATCCACACCCCGGCTTCGGCCTGCTGCACCCCCCAGATTCTGGGGTTCACTCTTTGGCAACTTCTTAGCTAGAGATAAAAAGAGAAGGGAACAAAGTATGGTAGATTTCACTCAGCCCTCACCCCAAATGCTATTGGGTGGGAGGAAAGTAGGGAGAAAGGGGAAATTCAAGAGATTAAAGAATGTTCTGAAAAGGGGAAGATACACTGAAGACTGGGGGCTAGAGCTGTGGCTAAGAATGGAGGTCACAATAGAAAAGTTCAGGTATTTTCCACAGACCTAGAGTTTTTCAAAGAGGAGACACTCCCACCTATCCTTGATTTGGGTTAATGATGATTTTGCCTATAGTCAAGGGGAAAAGACAGGAAGATTTCAGGCTCCTCTGACCTTACCTATTGCCAGGAAGAGATCATTCACATTCATAGCAGTCTTGGCTGAAGTCTCCATAAACAATAAGCTGTTGTCATCTGCATATGCCTGGGCCTCCTGCAAGAGGTTGGATTTATTGGTGTTCAGAATGCAGGATGGGAATAAGTACTGCCTTTCTGCTCCCATATAGCACCTAGAGCTAGGTTCCCTCCCCTTAATGCCCCTGTGAGCCAGTTGGCTCTGGACCCATAATTTAGTAATAACTCCCTCAAGATAAACCCATGTCCACTCAGCCCAACAAATGTCAGGAATCACAGTTAAGGGGGAGGGTAAATTGGTGGAGGGCTTTTGGGTTCTGACACTTGGATGGCCCCTTACCTCAAATTTAATTGCTCCCTCCTTCCTGTTTTCACACTGGTACCCTCACAGCTGGTACTTCCCTACCCCTCTGCTCTGGAATTTTCTTCTGACTCCTCTAAAATCTCCTGGCTGTCATTAGGGTCACAGCGTTGCTGTATTTAACTTGGTGTAGAACTGGGGAATGAGACAATGAATGTCCTTAGATGAGGTTTTCAAGGAGGGCTGGTTTGGAAAAAAAGGCCCCAGGTACAGAGGGAGCATGTAAGAGAGGGACTCTGTAAGCCATCTTACTTCATACTCCACCATGCGCTTGTTGGCTAGGTCAGCTTTGTTCCCTGCCAGGGCAATAACAATGCTGGGACTGGCCTGTCGCTGTAGTTCCTTTACCCATGTCTTTGCTCGGGCAAAAGTTTCCTAGGAAACAAGAGGAAGAAAGTGAGAAAACATGAGGAAGAGAATGCCAATCCACATTCATCACCTTTATTTATTTATTTATTTTTACTTACTCATTTTTTTTGAGACAGAACCTCAAGCTGTCGCCCTGGGTAGGGTGCCATGGCATCACAGCTCACAGCAACCTCCAACTCCTGGGTTCAAGTGAATCTCCTGCCTCAGCCTCCCAAGTAGCTGGGACCACAGGTGCCCGCCACAATGCCTGGCTATTTTTTTGGTTGCAGCCGTCATTGTTGTTTTGGCAGGCCAGGGCTGGATTCAAACCTGCCACCTTAGGTGTATGTGGCTGGCGCCTTAGCCACTTGAGCCACAGGTACCGAGCCTTATTTATTTATTTATTGGAGACAGAGTCTCGTTATGTCACCCTATTCATCGCCTTTACTTATTTAAGACAGAGTCTCATTATGTCACCCTATTCGTCACCTTTATTTGTTTATTTATTGGAGACAGAGTCTAATGGCACCTTCGGAAGAGTGCCGTGGCATCACAGCTCACAGCAACCTCAAACTCTTAGGCTTAAGCAATTCTCATACCTCAGCCTCCCAAGTAGCTGGGACTACAGGTGCCCGCCACAATGCCCAGCTATTTTTTAGTTGCAGTTGTCATTGTTGTTTAGCTGGCACAGGCCAGTTCAAACCCGCCAGCCTTAGTGTATGTGGCTGGCGCTATAACCACTGTGCTACAGGTGCCAAGCTGAAATTCATCACCTTTAAAACCTAGTCTCAAAACTTACCTCTTCTAGGCAGCCTTCCTTCACTGTAACCATGGGTCTCTAATAATTCATTATCTATCTCTGTTTTCTTGGCATTTGGAAGTATAATTTGTATTTTTACTTGCTATTTCAAGAACCTGTTTTCTCTTCCCCACCTAATTTAATTCCTATAAATATAAGCAACAACAGTCTTCTTAGCCCACTTACCTGATTAGTAATGTCATAAACCACAATTGCAGCTTGGGCACCCCTGTAGTACATAGGAGCTAAGCTGTGGTATCGCTCCTGCCCAGCTGTGTCCCAGATCTCAAACTTGACTGTGGTGTCATCTAGACAAACTGATTGGGTGAGGAAGGCCGCTGTGGATAAGAGAATAGAGAGGGGAAGATGTTGTAAGTGGGCGGATGAATGGTAACACCCTACTCCCCTTCAAAATATCTCTACTCTCACTCTAAGACCAGTCAACACCCAAGCTACTCAGCTACAGGAAAAGGTTTATTGTTCTCCTTACATCTAAGTCTTTGAACTAGTATTAAGCCTGCCTTTGGCTAAGTCCTTCCTGCCAGAAAATTCTCTGGCTAATTAATGGGGGCATATCGTAAACTAAAGAGGGATAGAGAGAAGAACTGGCATTTATACCAGTTACCTTTCTAACCAAAATAGAGGAATAACAAATAATGACATAAACTATAAGATTCCAGTAAAAGTTACATCAAGAATTAATTAGCTGGCTCGGCACCTGTGGCTCAAGTGGCTAAGGCGCCAGCCACATACACCTAAGGTGGCGGGTTCAAATACAGCCTGG